TTATAACTTATTGGTTAATATTTATTAGAGATTAAACTATTATTTGAGATTATACTATTTATTGATTAAGTTAATATAGTTTTAGTACTTATTGTATTTTTGTAATTATTGTATTTTTCATTATCAATATATTTTCAATAATTGTGTATTTTYGCTATAWATTTTCAATAATTWTTGGAGATTAAACTATTGTTATTTATTAGAGATGAGACTATTAATTTAGTTAAAACTATGAGTGTTTATGAGTTGGTTATGTTCGGTCGTAGGCTATTTGGCCAACCAAATTGGCCTGGTCAGGTTGGGGAGTTGGTCAGCTGAAACTGACTGACCTTTTGTGAAAACCAACCCACTCAAGTTGTACCGGTTTGGGTCAATTTTTTGGTTTGGTCAATCGGTTCAAAAGATTTAAAATTAAAATTTTAATTTAATTTTAAAAATTATAGTGTAATTATTAAAAAATAAATTTAAAAATTAGATTTATGATATAAAAAATTTTAGACTAAAAATATGGGAAATTTCCCACTTTTCCATATTAAAAATTTTATTTAAAATATAAAATATTAATATATATCCATGGTTAGGTCATCCGATTTTGGTTGGTTTACAAATGGTCAAAGTGAAATTGATCCAACTTGGTCGAATTGGGAAATTTTTTAACCAAAACCGACCTAAAATACTAGAAAACCGACCAACTCAAGTCAAGTTGATCAAGTTGGTCGGTTTCATCAGTTTGATGAATAAACCTAACTAAAATTAAATATTGTTATTTTTGTATTATAAAAAATTTATTAAAAGTAGTATATAAAATATGAATAATTATTGATTATTTAAAAAGTTGAAAATAATCTTATGTGATTATATTAAGGTCATTTACTAGAACACATCTTATAGTTTTACACATTTACTTAAACCTACCTTATATTATTCATTTTATTAAAACATCCCATATATTTTAAACTTATTTACTTAATCAACCTTTCATTAAGGAGTGTTTGTTTTGCAATTAGGCCTATGATTTTTTATTCCAAAAATACCCTTAACACTTTTTTTTTTCTACATAAAACAAAGTTAACTAAATATAACCAATAGAGTGGTTGCCTGTGTCTTATAAAGGCCAGAAATGGTATTTTTATTAGGGTCAACACTGTCATTTTCCACTATCATCTAATGGAAGATTGATTAAATCCATTACAAATTATAAGTGGTGTTTTAGTAAAATTCTAACTATACGGTAGATTTTAGTAAATTCATAAAACTATAAGGGGTATTTTAGTAAATGACCCTTTCTATTATTTAGCTTTCGCTTAATAAATCCCATGCATCGCATAGGTCCCCGCTAGTTTTGAGTTAAAAACAATCCTAAAACATTTCTATTAGGAACATAAATCAGATTGTGTTGGGGGAACATCAAATTGATATTATTCAGCTCTTCTATCAGCTACCTATTTGAAGAAACAGTCCAATGACCTAATTCTAATTCTGATGCATTACGTAGTACAAAGGTGAATATACATAAACCCTATCTCTAAAACATTTGTTTTGAATTTATATTTCCAGTACCATTAGATCTACATTTATGTGCTTTATGTGCATTGCACCTAGGGTTGTCAACCGACCGGTTTTGGTTTGGATCCAATCCGATCCAAACCTTATCGAATCGGATTTGGATGGTCCATTATAATTATTTGATTGGGCCAATCCAAAATAAATTGGTCCATATTCTTATTGGTTTGAATTACACCTAAACCAAATTTTTAATAATCTGATCATAAGGCCAAAACTTTGTCCAATTTGAAATCAATCAAAACTGAAAACAACATAAAATCACTTTTATGAAAGTACTTTTACGAAAACATTTTTATAAATGCATTTTTATAAAAAGTACTTTTATGAAAAGTATTTTTACGAAAGCACTTTTATAAAAATACTTTTACAAAAGCATTTTAACAAAAGTACTTTTATGAAAGCACTTTTATAGTAGTTTTTTTATAAAAGCACTTTTATAAAAATACTTTTACAAAAGTACTTTTATGAAAGCACTTTTACAGAAGTAGTTTTATAAAAGCATTTTTACAAAAACACTTTTATAAAAAGTACTTTTACGAAAGCAATTTTACAAAAGTACTTTTATGAAAGCACTTTTATAAAAGTACTTTTACACGAAAGCACATTTATGAAATCACTTTTATAAAAAAACTTTTACGGAAGTACTTTTATAAAAGCACTTTCATAGTACTTTTATAAAAGTGCTTTTATGAAAGTATTTTTATGGAAGCACTTCTAGAAAATCACTTTTATGAAAGAACTTTTACGAAAGCACTTTTGCAAAAGTACTTTTATAAAAACACTTCTACAAAAGTACTTTTATAAAAGTACTTCTACGAAAGCACTTCTACAAAAGTACTTTAACAAAAGCACTTTATAAAAGTACTTTTACGAAAGCACTTCTACAAAAGTACTTTAACAAAAGCACTTTTTAAAAGTACTTTTATCAAAACACTTCTACGAAAGTACTTTTATGAAAGCACTTTATGAAAGTACTTTTACAAAAGCATTTCTACAAAAGTACTTTTATAAGTCTGGAAGTACTTTTCGAAAAGTACTTTTACAAAAGTACTTTTCGAAAAGTACTTTTACAAAAGTACTTTTACAACTTTTACGAAAGCACTTTTTCGAAGTACTTTCAATAAAGTGCTTTTGTTTATGAAAATATTTTTATCAAAGTACTTTCACAAAAGTGTTTTTCAATGCTAAAAGTGCTTTTATATCATTTTTTATATTTCATTCGGTTTGGATTGGATTGGGTTTGGTTTTATTGTATTTGGACTGGATCGGGTTGGACCAAATCCATCCAATTAACACTTCTAATTGCACCACTGCTATGAATCCAAATTTCTCTTTCATAAAGCGTTCCTCACACCAACCTCACATCACATCCCTCCATGTATTATGAACATCTCCTATGTATGTATTTAACAACATACATGGTGAAAGATGTTGACAATGTATGTATTTAATTTCATTTACATTTTTTATTCAAAGTTTATATTTTATTTATTTATAAAATCGAAAAAAGTAATAATTACAATCATTTATGATAATTAGGTGCCAAACGTCTAATATAAAAATCGAAGTTCACTTTACTACTATTATCGATACACACGGAAAAAAGCAAGAGAGGAGAATTGCTGAAGTGGCGCCCTATAGCAACGTTTGTTGAATAAACGCGCAGGGAACCCAACACCCTGAATGTGATCCGGACTCCTCTGGTATAGTAGAAAAGAATGGGGATAGGTAAGGTAATCTGATTTACTCCGAGTATGAACCACCACCATTATCCACTCGAGTTGGGATAGGACAACGAGGACAACCACCCCTTTTTCCTGGAATCTTCCCTTGTTTGTTTTTCTTCACTCTTTACTTTTTTCACTTTCACTGAATTCACTGAATTCTAATCGTCTTCAGCTCTACTCGTGGTGGGCCAGCCATTTGATTCACCACATCCACATCTGTTCATTTCGGGTCGAGATAAACCTGTAATGAATCCGATCCGTTGGACAGTAACACTATGGTGATGGGGCCCAGATTATGGCAGCATGGAAAGCATGGCAAGATATTCCGAGCCCAGACTATCGGGCGTAGTCTTGGGCTAAAACATGAAATAACGGCCTTTGGATGTATTTTGGACCCCACCTTAAACGTCACTTCATCCAAGTGTTGTAGTAGGTGAGCCCACATCAAGAAATCGAGGGCTATGATTCTCGGACGGCTTTAGCTGCAAATATTTCTTCAGATATTCCCGTCCTCGTAGAACTGCTGTGTACTATAAAACAAACAAAACAGAAAACCACGTGTCCACCCTGCACTGGCTATCTCTCACCTACACTATTCTTGGAAGCGATATATATCTTGGACTTTGGAGAGGCCGACGACGGGAAGGGACCAGTCGAAGAGCCAAAACAAGAAAACAACGACGACGACGACAAAATCTCTCCGAGTCCCGAGAAGATGGGTCGTGTCTTCCGCTCCCTTTTCATCTTCTTATTGTCCTCTCTAATCTTTGCTGCAGCAATAGCTTCTCTTGTTTCTCCCGATGATGAATCGGAAGATCCCTTGATCCGGCAAGTCGTGTCGGACGACGACGATCTTCTCTTGAACGCCGAACATCACTTTAACAACTTCAAGAGGAAGTTCGGAAAGAGCTATGCTACTCCTGAAGAGCATGCTTACCGTTTGGGTGTCTTCAAGGCTAACTTACGCCGGGCGAGGCGTCACCAGAAGCTCGACCCCTCTGCCGTTCATGGAGTCACCCAATTCTCCGATTTGACGCCGGCTGAATTTCGTCGGTCTTACCTCGGTTTGAAGCCTCTTAAGCTTCCTGTCGATGCTCATAACGCTCCTATCCTCCCGACAAACGATCTTCCAACCGATTTTGACTGGAGGGATCACGGCGCCATCGCCGCTGTCAAGAACCAGGTACTCGAATTTCTGTTTCCTCCGCGCGTTTACGGATCGTCTTGATCATCCATTGAGATTGTTTGACTGTTGATTTTGGTTGTAATTATTCAGTAAAATTTTGATATTGATGTTTTTGTTTTTGTTGTTTTTTCCCCCGAAATTAGGGTTCTTGTGGATCCTGCTGGTCTTTCAGCACCTCTGGAGCCTTGGAAGGAGCTAATTTCCTGGCTACTGGAAAGCTAGTTAGCCTTAGCGAGCAACAGCTCGTGGATTGCGATCACGAGGTTTGTATTCTCTTTAGTCTTTAGTCTCTTCCTTCTGATGCTTTAATAGTTCCGGCTATTGTATTTTTTTGTGGTAATTATATAATTCTTTTGAATTTAGTTTGGAAATTCTTTTTTTTTTTTGGTTTATTTTGTTGATTAACGGTATTGGCTTATCTCCTTTATAGCAGGTTAGTCTTGTAATTGTTGATAGCGTTGTTTATTAGTTTTATCCTTTCCTCTTTTAACATTTAGATATTTGGAACGGTCTTTGTATTAGTAGATTACCATTGTTGGGTTCACTTTTTAACGGTTTCATGGAGGGCTCTATGTATGTATAATCTTTGGTCTCGTTTGATAGATAGATAACTGAATAACCTATCTAATGACACCAAAGTCAAGCAAAAAGACAAGCTTTGTTCCTGAAAATTAGGCTGAAAGAAAGTGATCAGCTTACAACCTCAATAAAGGAGTTTCATCTGAAGTGGATCCTACTGTCTACATGCTAAATATGACCAAGACAACTAATAGATCTAGACCTACAATAAAATTAAAAATAGCTGAAATACTGAGATATTGATTGAATGGTCAAAGTAGAAATTATGAAACTGCCTCTGGTGTTGCTAAAAAAATGGAGAAATCATATTTCTTTCACATGGAGAGATTTACTAATACGATTGCAGCCAGTTCACCCCATGTCTAGGCAAGCCCTAGCCAGAGGTTGCAGGCTCCACTTTCAGTTTTTATTAATTTTGTCCTATGACCATCTTGCTAGATGGGATCAGGCCTTCAATTTCTTGTGCCAGATCTAAGGACCTGCAATTTGAATTCTACCTTTTTACTCTTTCCAAGTTTAAAAGATTTACTTTAGGCTATGTTTGGTTTGAAGGAGAATGTGGGGAAAGGAAGGGAAAAGTAGGGAACCTTTACAAATCTTGTATTAGTTTTCCTGTATTTCCCTTCCTTTTCCTACCTTTTCCTTCAAACCAAACATGGCCTTATGGAACTTAATTATGACATTTACCTATATTATTTTTATTTCTGTTTATGCCGCTGATGTGCATTGGGTAGGTGCATAAATTCATGTTCTGTTTGTCTACAGTTGTACCCAAGACTTGACTGTGCATGCTGTAAAAATATTATTAGGCTATAATGGCATCACCTTGAAGAATTGGTTGTTTGGAGTTGCAGTTGGTTATGTTTGAGGGTCCATTTAGTTTGCAGTCAGTATTGAAATCCCTTGGAATCGGAATCAAAATGGCATTATTTCTGGCAATGACCGGTGGTGACTTACCTCGCTGGACTTTCCAAGGTTCAGCCATTGGAGGACAGGGTGCCAACAGAGAGGGAGGGAGGGAGGCATTTTTGGTCAGCTGGATTGAGATTCTCATTCCGATTCCACCCAATCAAATGGCATGGACCATACTGGTTCTGATTCCAGACCCCTATTCCTGCAAACCAAATGGACTCTAAGTATTATTAACAAGATCTTGTAGTTCTACTAATATGTAGGTTTAGTTTGTTAATTCGAGGTTTTTCTTTTTCAGTGTGATCCAGAAGAACCAGATTCATGTGATTCGGGGTGCAATGGTGGGCTAATGACCAGTGCCTTTGAATACACTCTAAAGGCTGGTGGACTTATGCGGGAGGAAGACTATCCTTACACTGGAACAGATCGTGGTACCTGCAAATTTGATAAGACCAAGATTGCTGCATCAGTGGCTAACTTCAGTGTCGTCTCTCTAGATGAAGATCAAATTGCTGCAAACCTAGTGAAAAATGGCCCTCTTGCAGGTGGGTGCCTTTAAATTCAAGATGCATCACTAGCATATGAATGCACACAGGCTTCAGGGTTCCAATGGTGCCAATTTGATGATAACGATCATAAATTACTTGGGTATGTATTAAACGGTAATAACTTTTTGCATTGCATGATTGCAGTTGGTATCAATGCGGTTTTCATGCAGACCTACATTGGGGGAGTTTCATGCCCATACATTTGCTCAAAGCGTTTGGATCATGGAGTGCTTCTGGTGGGGTATGGCTCTGAAGGTTATGCTCCCATCCGGTTGAAGGATAAGCCATATTGGATCATAAAGAACTCTTGGGGAGAAGGCTGGGGAGAGAATGGATACTACAAGATCTGCAGGGGTCGCAATGTCTGTGGAGTAGATTCCATGGTCTCAACTGTGGCAGCTGTTAACATCTCCCCTCGGTAGACGTAGACTATGAAAAATAAGGTTTATCAAAGTGGCTCTCCTGTACATGAAGTGATATATGTATATTGTGTCCATCTTGTGCTTTTGTCCCATAGGTCCTTAAAACCTCAAAATCCTTGAAACATTACCTAAATAGGAATAATTTATGCTTCAGTGTTGTTTAAGATATAATGTATGACCTACCATATGCTTCTATACTTGGTTCTTTGCATGTATGAAGGGTTTTTCTTTGTTATACTCTTTCATGTACCATTTGGAGAAAAGCTCAGATCTTACTACCCACTGGTACCTACAAGACACTACACCCATGAATCTCTCCATGAATGACAACTGTGTTTTCGTCTTTTCCATGTGCCGCTGCAGTGTCTTGTGGGGTAGTATTTCTCCGGACTCTTTTTAGAGAAATATTATTAAGCACATTCTTTGTACCCTCATTCCTCTCCAAGCTGAAGAAAACCTGCCTAATCCAGATGGGTAATATGCAGATTACTAAAGACGATTACCTTAGTAATTCAGATGTGCCAGCTGAGTTCTCTTAGTTGTGGATAGGGGTGTCAATTGGACTGGATTTGGTCCAATCCGGTCCAGTCCAATGTGAATCCATTACAAATGGATCTGGTCCAATCCAGTCCAATGAAGGAAAAGATAGGAAAACCTATACAAGTTTTGTAAAAACTTCCCTACCTATCCCTACTTTTTCCTTCAAACCAAACACAACCTTAGGGATAAGACATAAATATGTTTGGTTACAAGCAGCCATCCGTGTTGGCTCACTGAAGCAGTCTTGGATGTATTGCACCACTTGGATTTGCATTACAGTCCAACATTTTTGATAATCACGTACAAGCATGGATTCCATCTGGTCCAGGGGTTTTGAGAGGGCCAATACTGAAAATTGCTTGCTGAATTTCAGAATCAGTTGGAATACTGCACAAAAATGTATTGTTAGGTGTAGTGAGAGGAGAAGGTGGACCCTGAAAAGAAGATTAGTCTGGATTGGTTGAACAAAAAAGCCCACTGAAAATTTGATAATATGCAGAAATTATTTGATCATGGGAAGAGGACCAAAGGCCATCCTCATTCTTAAGCCAGAAAATATGGTTTTAGAGGCCATTAAATGATAAAAACGTGTATTTCTATCCCATCGCTGCAACCAGTGGGCCTTTAGCCCGAGTTTTCCAATACAAATCCTGTTGTTCCAACAGTTGTTCAAGTTTACATCGCAAAGAATCTTCATTCATGCTACCACTTGAAACATGTGACAATTGGGATTCCAATTGCTGAATCTAGGTATGAAAATTTGAAAGGTTGCCTCTGTAATGAAACTTGAAGAAATTAAGAATAGCTTGGCATCTGTTAATAATATCTCCTAAAGTCTGGTTCCATGCTGATGTAAATTGATCCATAAAGTCCAAATTGGCTAGTAAATGAGTATTAAATCTGATGACTGGAGAGTGGCGGTGGAGAGAGGTTCCTTTAATTTTGCTTTTCGGTAAATATTTATCCAGTAAATACATTTACCTGGGTAAGTGGTTCCCAAGTAAATAAAACAATGACCGTTTTAGCCATAAAAATCCATTATTAAAAGTGGTATTTTTGTCTCATTCAAGTATTGATAATTTTTCTCAAAGTAAAAAAGTTATTTACCTACATATGAGATGGATAAGTGATACCCAAGAAAATAAATGTTCCATGCTCCCCATATAAATCTGAAAAAAGAATATGGGTTTCTTGGTCAATAAAATTTTAAATCCCATTGACCAACTTCCCCCCTCTCACTCCCAAAATCCAAAAAAAGAAAGCCCCCTTAGTAAACATTCAGATCAAGTGTACTAATGAAATGGTATATGAATTTTAAGTAAGGATATTAGATAGTATTGGATGGATTACATTGGATTGGATGGAATTGATCTTATATTCAATCCAATTATAATGGGATTGAATTCAAATATCTATAACCCCAATTTATTTTTTGTGTGTCGAGGCAAAAAAAAAACATTGGCACTCATGATTATTAACACTTGATGGCAACCTATTACAAAAACCTGATACTCAGCAATGTAATTAGCATTTAAAATCGAGCATACTTAATAATTCGTTGTATTCAAACATATCTATCGGATAAAAAACCGATGCATTATACGCATTTGTACTTCGAACATTGGATAATCTAATACCATTTGTGCCCGTGTTAACCCTAACAAGTGTTACATGCTATATTAAACAAGGCTGCCTTTGCGTTCAAAATGAAAGTAAAGTTAGCTCCCATTTTTAGAGCAATTTTTTGCACTCAAAGTTGGTCATAAAACAAGTAGATTTCAATCTTGACATTTATATTTTCACTCTTTAAATTAATGTTTGTATCCATCGCAAATCAAATACATTTGATAAGAATACAAAATTTATCAATGCAAAATCAAACCAAGTTAACATTTTCATTAAGTGTGCAAATTTTGCACTCTTATCAAATGCAACGCAAAGTACAAACCATTATATGTATATATACGGGAAGGGTATGATACCTGAATAACTTTTACCATTCTCTCCCCCCTCCCATGAATTTTAATGAATACCAGTTGTCCAGTTGATTGATAACTACGTATGGTAGTTGTTGATTAGTGGTTGCAAAAATTTTCTTGTCTTCAAGAGCTTGGAACTGTGTCACTTATACTTTCTTCTCCATTTTTCGGTCTTGAACCTCCGCTGCCGGCCGCTCTTTCCGTCAACCAGGCAATGATGTCTGCAAAAACCATGTCAATGTTCTCCGGAGGTTCACCGGAAGTGATTGCATGCCACATTCCGGGATACAACTTCAACATTTTGTCTGAACTTGACGCTGATTCATATAATAACTTGCTTACGGACGGATCTGTTATTTTGTCTTTCTCTCCGTGGACAACTAAAAAGGGAAATGTGATCTGAATTACACCCAGAAGCAAGAATTCAGCTTAAAATGTATATTAAAAATAACTACTGTAATGAAAAGAAAATAAGCATACATATCTCTAATAAAATGTAAAGGGGCTGTCCAAAACTCCCCACCACTTTTCTTGCATTCTCTTGATCTTTTGAGTTGAGTTCATTCAAATTTTAACAATACTTTCAATATCTTCTATCAATATTATTGACCAAAAATCTATAATAGAAGTGGTTTGTATATATCATTTTTTTTTATTGACAAAACTAACCTTCACCAACCAATCTACCTATTAACTAATTTTATATGACAAAAATACCTTTAGTTTATTTCTCTCCCTATTCCATTGCCCAACTCACCTTCAACCATCTCCCAGTCCACCAATAGTTCTTTTTGAGTGAATGGAGCACTTATTTTTGAAATTATGGTTAAGGATGAAATTAAATAGAAGGGCATTATTGTAATATTTCAAACACCATTAGTTTTCTGGATTCTAATTAGCTGAATATGATGGCTATATAACAGCTGTGATATAAATAATATGGCCTCAAGCCAGTCATAAATGCTAAGTGAGAGATTAATGGTTGTAGTCCATATGCACTTAAGACTGGCATGGGTTTAATCATCAGTTCCGCAGCCCATTATGAATGGTAATGGGGCAGGTTTGGGGCAAGGACTATACTTCACATCTCATCCCCGGCTCTGATCCAGGGATAAAAACGAACCTCCAAGGATAAATAATATAGATAATATAATATGTGTATATATTTAATATTTATAATCGGGATCAGGTCAGGGCAGGGAATTCACTACTTATCTCTGTCTCCACCAGATAATCTCTATCCTTGACTCATTGGGTCAGGGAAACCAGGTACCCGACAAGGATGGAAAAAAGTGTCATCCCTACGGCTCATTACATAGCCATTACATTTAGCTAATCTTTTCTCTAATTTTTCTACTACAAATGACTATCTGAAATAGTCATTTTTCTACTACAAAGGGCACGTTTCTTAAACTACCCTTATGGTTTAACTAATTGACTAGCTCTACTCTTATTGTTTATATATTGTCTAGATTACCCCTATTGTTTTTGACAATTGCCATCGCCGTTAAATCGTAATGGAAATGATAAAATGTCCCTTTTACCCTTAAGTTAAAAGAAAAATTGCAGGAGAGACAAACTCTTATCTCTCTATCTCTCATTCTCGACGGATCATACTGAATGCATTCGATCATGTTGTGTCCAACGGATCTCGGCGGCTGCAGAGAATAGGAGCCCAAAGACTGGAAAGTTTTCCGTTCCACACACACACACACACAGTCAGCCCAACCAGAAACTGATCCGAGATAACGGCAAACCGGCGGTGATGATTCAATCGGAGTTCCTTCAATCTATGATTTTCCATTTTTTTCTTCCTTTTTCATCATTTTTCTTCATTTCCCTGGGTTTTCATCCATCCTTCTCTCCCCCTCTTCTCTCCTTCCCCTCTCTATTGCACCCTACTCATCGCCACCACCATCTGGTCCATCCCTATGCAAGCAACATTTTCTCCCTTCTCTCTCCACCACCTCTCGTCTTCCCATCTCTCGATCTCCACTTTACTCCATTAAAGTGGTTTGTAGAGAAAACTCTACACATTCCAACCACAGGCCTTGCAGGCGAAGTTGTTAAGGTTTGCAAAGGAAGACTGAGGAGCGATATAGAATTGTGCAAAGGACGATGAACACTGTGAGGAAGAAGGTAAGGGAGGAACACTATGACGGTGATTCTTACCTGGCTTACAGAAAAGGGATGATGGGTAATATTGGGTTTTAAAAAATTTTATACCTCAGGTGGTGTCACATGTGTATGGATTTTGACAGAACATTAATGGACGCTAACAGTAAAGGTAGAACTAGTCAATTCTCAGAAAACTTAGGGGTATTCTAAGACAATATAAAAACAAGAAGGATAGAATTAATCAATTAGCTAAACCATAAGGTAGTTTAAGAAATTTGCCTTCTAAAATATAAACAAGTCAAGATAAATACAAGAAAAAGTTAGAAAAATGGAGGAATATTTCAAATAATAAACCCCAAAAGTAACAACTAATGCTGGTTTGGTTGAGACTTGAAAAGTTCTCTAACTTGTTGTAGCAGAGACCTGAGATCAAATCCCACAAGGACTAGGGTTGAGAGGCGTTATGGTCATGGATAGGAGGATGGGCACCTCCTCCCCACCCCTTCCCAGTATCCCACCCTGCGGTTGTACAGTCCCATGAAACCAAAATAAATAAATAATAAAGGGTAAAATGGTGAAGCCCTGATAAGTTGGATCACAGAATACTGAACTAAAATGGTTTTTGTGATTTAGAGCCCGCTTGGAGGGCTTCAGCGTTGATTGAGCTGCTTTGGAAAGACTACTTCTCTGAAAGTCGATTTTGGGCTCATGCGAACGTGTTTTTGTTTTTTACTTTCTGGGTTTTTCATCAAACATGGCTTCACAAATTTCCACAAGAAGCTGCCACATGAAAGGCCTCCCAAATGGTGAAATGTGCATTAGCTTGTGCGGGCCACGCTTTTTTGTGGCACTAGACATCTCTCCATACAATTAATAATAATTCTAAAGATGGAAAAATATTTTAAAAAAATGAAAAAAAAAACTGACCTGGTGGAGGTTCTGTTCAATTTCTAAGCTGACCCTGTAAAGTTGGTCGCCGGTTTTCAAGCGAGGCCTACCTTTGTAGCAAAATGGGTTTGATTTAAGCTAAAACATAGAAACCAAACCAGTAAAAGGGAAATGGTTAAAAAATTATAGAAGAAAATATATTACTAAATAATTATTTTTTGTTAATTGGAAGAAAAGCTACTAAAGAAAAGGTACAAATGCAAATACATGCAAAATATTAAAAAATGTAAGATTTTTCACTCTACATATTTGCATTTGTATTCCTTCAAAACTAAGCCTAAATAGTAAATACCTCGTTCCTTCGTCCAACTTCTTTTATTCCAACCTTAACCAAGTTTGGAGCTGGAACCATCTTCCAGGTTGGAACAACATGGCAAAGCTTATCTAAAGCGCTGAGAAGCAACGGATGAGGCTTCATGTTCTCTGCAATCTGAATTATAAAGATGTTCGTTAGGGTAAGCATAGTAAATACTAATGTTAATCACAGAAGAAAAAGAAGATTCAGAGATTTAGAGAGAAAGATGAAACAGACCTTGCACATGGGAGAAACTAAGATTGCACCATCCCAATATTTTGGGTTCTTTCTGTGCAATAGGATAGCCACAGCTCCTCCCATCGAGTCTCCAAATATAAATCTCGATTTGTTTTTGTTTTCTGCCCTCTCTGAGAACCATAAACAATGGTAGTGTCAAAGTGATGAATTAATTAAGTAGCTAGATATCTGTGTGTGAGAGAGAGAGAGAGAGAGACTGACCACATATGCTAGTGAAATGGTCACAACAGTCGTTGACGATATTATCAAAGCAAGAAATGTAGCCGTCCAACCCAACCGATTTTCCATGGCCCTCGTAATCTAGTCCATAAACTGCAAACCCAGCCTTGGCAAGCCGAATTCCGGTACCTGCATCAGATAGACTATCCCAGTTAGGGCTTCTTCTGGTTCTCCGATTTCGAAAACCAACAACTAGAATCGGCATTTACCTCTCATCGTTATGCTGCATTCCATGGCGTAACCTAGCAGAAACGCAGACATTAAGGTTTAAAATCTATATGCAAGGAAAGGAACAAGGTGAATCGATCTCCTACAAGGAAGATAAATATGTAATATTACCATGACACAAGAAGACTAGGGCTTTTGGTTCTCGAGATATAGGGATCCATCTGCACGTGAAAATTTTCATTCCTCGGGAATTCAATATAAATTCCTGTACATTCAAATAATATTAATTTTGAATCTATTACTATTCGTTCGTCAAAAGAGAAACCATGATCAAAAGCCAGACTTTTCTTTCTTCATCAACAGAGAGAGAGAGAGAAACTTTAGCTAACCTCTTCGTACGACAAACTACCCTGCGACTGTTAAAAGATAAAATAACAAAACAAGATATGAGAAGCTCCTCAGAACCCGAAAAAAAGATGGGGATTAAGCAGAAAATTTAGAACAAACACTGAAAGATATCTAACCATGATGGATGCAGAAGCTCCTCAGAACCCGAGTTCTTCTGCGAGAGAAAGAACGAAGGGCAGATTCGGTAAAATCCGACAAGTATTATTACCAATCAACTGGTATTCATTCAAAATCATGCAGGCTTCTGCATTGATGGAGTTTTTCAGGTACAATACCTTTCCGGTATCGTACAAATCTACAAATTACAAATAAAAAAAAAAGTAAAAGACAAGGAATTCTCTACGTGAAAATTGGGATTATATAAAGACACAGATGGAAATGGAGAGTGGAAACAGGGATTGTGTGGACCACGCTCCACGCCCACATCGCGTTTATTGACTAAAATTTACGCTAATTGCGTGTGATCATCCGTTGGCCTATGCGCCCCGATAAATATGGTATGACACCAGAAGAATTCTGAACGATCAAAAAACAAAATGACTTTTTCCTTGCCGATTATTCAGAAATCACGATTTATGGAATCAGTGATTTTTGAAAAATTATGAAAATTTGTTGTTTGTTATCGTTTATGTTATGTAAGTTGATTTTTGAAAACTCAGTTTTGAGTCTGTTTCATACTGTTTTTCAAGGGCCGATTATTTTTGTATTAGAGTTATTATTCAGTGCCATGTTGGATGCCATCTCATTCTCAAAAAATCGGAATCAGTTAAAAATAAGAAAATCATCAGAAAAAGGTGATCATTTTTGGCTGATTTTCTAGAAATTGGCATAATCGGCCAACCAAACAAGAAAAAAAATCACTAATTTTTTAAATTATGATGTAGATCCTATATGGTGCTGATTTTTGGGAAATCATCATCATGCCAAACATCACCCAAATCATGCAAAGAGAATGACAAGGTGATATCCATAATACGAGATGTTCTAAGTCGCACATTGGAAACATCTTCCATACTTTGTACAGTTATTCATAGGGAGATGTTCTCAATACATGGTGTGATAGGGATGAGAGATCGGTATAAAGTGCGCTCTAAGAAGCAAGTTCAGATTCATTGGGATAATCTACCAATACAAATTCCAACAGCATCCCAACCAATCATTGCAGTCCACTAAGCATCTCCACATAAATGACAAGTGAGATGATCCCGATGTGATGCTGTAATGGCCAATTGGAACAGTGTTGAAAGCAGAATGGGATCGGCTTGTCACACTTGGGCACCTCACATGCACATCCACCATGCATTGGGAACATCTCCCGGGAAAAATAACTTACAAGTACGGGAGATGTTCCCAATGCATGGTAGGATGTGCATGTGAGGCGCCCTATGTGAGGAATAGATCTGGTCTCGTTGAAAGCATTTTATTGGTACTAGATCCCTACTATACCCCTATAAAGTGCATATCAGCTACCAATACAAGGTCTCAACAAATATCATAGGGTAAGAGGTCCAGAAATAGAATCTTTAAAATAAAAGACATAAATGGGGTTTAGGTTGAAGGACAAAAGGAAATTGAACGGGCTTTTAGAGACCACTATCAAACTATCAAACTCTCTTCACGTCCTCTAACCCAATAAACATAGAGGAAGTAAATGATCCCAAGAGTTATAAGCAATGATGATAATATAGAGTTTGAAAGAAATTTTAGATGAGGAGATAGAACATGCTTCGATGTAGATGAGCCCCTACGCCTGATGGCATCCCAATTTCTTCTACCAAAAGTTTAGGAATTATGATGCGAGGAGAGAAGTAAAGAGCTTATTTCAAGGAAACCCTATGATCAAGGATCTCAACCTTACTCATGCAACCCTAATCCAAAAAGCTAAATATCCTAAAGAAACTAGTAACTTTAGGCCTATAAGTTCATGCAATACAATCTCAAGATAATTGCTAAATAGGCTTAAGAAAAAATTAAGTGAAATCGTTTCCCAAAACCAAAGTCTTCCTTCAGGATAGATTTATGGGAGAATGACTGATCAGTCAAGATCAGAATTTTGTAGCTCCAAGCCACCGTACAGGAGGGATGAATCTGACCACAAATTGATGCCAAATTCACAGGTAGGATACGGTTTATAAGGGGGGGGGGGGCTACTAGTAGACTATGGGGGCTATCATTCAGAATTCTACACTGGGTTGTAGAGTACTTAACCCTAGATTTGTTGGGGATAATATGCTCTTAGCTCATGAGATTTTTCATCACATGAAAAAAAACCAAAGCAAGAAAAGGGGTAATGGCTATTACACTAGACTTGATCAAGGATTATGATAGATTGAAGTGGGGTTTCCTCCAAAAGATTATGAAAATTGGGCTTTGGTCAGAGATGGGTTGGGTGGATCATGAATTGCGTGTCCATTGTCTCCTACCAGTTTTTGATAAATGGTTGTCAAGTAGAAGGGTGTTGCCTGAGAGAGGCCCCACACAGGGAGACCCTATCTCTAGTGTTAAGTTTAATCAACAATGCCCTTTAATCTCTCATTTATTTTTTGTAGATGACAATTACATTTGTATTAAAGCAAATTTGGAGGGGCACAAAATCTTGGAAATCATCTGTCTATATGAGCAAGCTTTTGGACAACATGTGAACATTGGTAAATCTAAAGTAAAGTTTATTTCAAATGTTTATCCAAGATTTCAAAAGCCTTCATATAAAGAATTAGGTTGAAAAACCTTCCCTGTACCTTGATCTTTACCCCCAGATTAGTAGGTCAAAAAAAGAAGTTTTCAATTTTCAGGTAAATAGAGTGGAAAACAAAACATAAAATTGATAAAGCATGTTTCTCTCCCATGTTGGAAAGGAGATGTTGCTGAAAGCAGTAGTTATACCATTCCAACATACTACATGTCTTTTTTCAAGCTTCCAAAAAATATCTATGAAGCTTTAAAAAAGGTGATTAGAGCAAAGATCTCTCCTAGCAAAACTTGCTTGGAGACTGGCATCTCTTTGGGCAAAGGTGATTAGAGCTAAGCAGGTAAAGAATGAGGATTTTCTAAACTTAGATATTAATCCTAATTAATGGGTCTTGAGGATGGAGAAGTATCTTGGTAGGCAAGGAAGTGATTAAGGGAAGGAACTTGCTAGAGTAAGGATCTGGTGCTCAAGTTCGAATGTGGAATGATCAAAATTTTTGAGCCTAGGCAAAATACCCAAGGCCTGTTTCTAGTCAAGGATCTTATCAATGCAAATAAAGTGAGCTGGAATGAAGACATAATTATGAACAATATCCTTCCAGAAGTAGTGGAAAAGATCCTCAACGCTCACTTAACTACCTTTGATTAGCCTGATAAGCTGATTTGCATGCCTAGTGAGAAAGGTACTTTCATTGTCAAATCAGCTTACTGTGTAGCAAAATCTTCAAGCGACAAACCATCTTACTATGTACACTGGCGAAACATGAAAAAAAAAAAAAAAAAATCCGCACACATGTATCAATAATACAAAAGCTTAAAAAACTTGATACATTAAATAGTTTAAGTGTGAACCGCTTACACGGAATTAAAATGAACATATATCTTAAAAGCCAATACTAGTTTTATTAATACATTAAAAACCCGATAGCCCATTTTATTTTGAGACATCGTAAACCAATAGCCAGTATGAGAATGCTTACCTGACAGTGTTAGTAAAGTAAGAGTAAATGCTACAGAGGGTATTTGGTGGTAGGATCAATATGTTGGACACAAGTAGGGGTGCAATGAAGTTATATCTGAATTCGAATTGATTAAGAAAACAATTTTGGAATTCAATTCAAGATCCAAAAGAACCTAAGAAAAGACAACCAAATTGAAATTCAAATTCGACTAAATATTCAAATATTTGTCCGAACCTATCTAATTTAATTTTTTACCATTATAATTATTATAAAAATAAAAAAAAAAACTGTGATATAAATTCATTAGAAAGAATTGAAGGTACTTAGGTCGCTTTATGTACATACTAATGCTGTGGCCTTGGTTGTCTAATGGCCCCTGGACATGGTTTATCTTGTATTTGAATGTGACTCCATATCTGTGGCAAATGCTTTCCGACGGAGAGATTTTAATTGTGTAACTGAAGCCTAGCCTGGCCTGTGCTTTTGAATTTTGATATCCTTAATTTAGCTAAAGACAATTTCAGGTCCCACTTTGCAAGGTGTAAGTTGAACAGGGTAGCTCATTTGCTACCCGCAGCTGGTTTAAAAGGTTTAAATTGCACTTGGCTGACCTCCTCCGGACTGGCTTCTTTCAAGTTTGAACGCAGACTTGATTGATAATCAAGATAGTAGATTTTATTTTCTTTCTCGGTCTAATTGTTCTAGTTTGCTAGTTGTGTTTTTTTTTGTTTTTCTTTCTCTTGATGAAAACATTTGATTACCACAAAAAAGTCATAAATGATAAATCCAATAAACTAAACGGTATAAATTTCATATCCCAATTCAACCAAATAGAATAAAGTGTGATTACGTAAAATCTGGAATATGAAATTGGATTTTCGGATACTGTTGCACACTTGCACCCCAGCCCAGACATAGGTTTGACTAAGACCATTCCACCCATGCCCCAGGGAATCCAAATCTGCTATCGAGTGAACACGCCAGTGTTCCATGCACATGCATTTGTACGCAGCAGCTCGTAACTCTGCCACAGGACCTTGATCATAATTCATTAATTCTCGCACGCACCATTTGCCAAAAGTCATTCTAATCGTTCCGCTGTCTAGTGATCCAAATTGTTTTCCAAGTACATCTGATACCTAAAAATCATCTTCACAATACTCTTGGGCTTTGAACCATGCCTCCATCATCATATTCATGTAGTGGGAGACGTAGAGATGCAGAACACATATATAATATCAGTCTCTTTCCATCTCTAAAAATAAGACATTCATAATATAATTTTATTGTTACACCAGCTTCCGATCAAAACCAACTCCACCCACATAGCCACCATCATGCCCCTGCCAACTATTTTATTCAATTAAACGACGAAATGACAAACACAATAGAATTTGTATGGGGATTACATGGAGGCGAACCATTTCATCCTCCATTTACCAGGCACTCGGCCAATAATTCCCTTCTCTAGAACTCTTGTATAAATAAAAGAATTGACAGATCCATCATAACTTGGCACATCCAAATTGTCATTCATTCTTGTAACTGCTGCTAAGCTCTACTCAGAACACGCTAATCATCCTCGTCACTAAGCAATGCAAATGAGAACGGATTGAACTTGTAGCCATCTCCTTCATAGAACTTGTTCTGAAACTCCACCCAGTGAAGCCGCAAAGCGTGTAGGAATGCACTCAGTGTTTCCATTACTAGCAAAACACCAACGGTTGCACAAATAAACACAATGATGCCCACAACAAGGATTATAATGTTGTTGAACCTGCAACCATAGCACAATTAATTGTCCATATCTATAGCAAATATCCACCAATGTGTGATGTACACATGTACGAATAGCAGAAATAGGATTGCTTAAATAATGATGTTGATAGGCTAAATTTAACCAATAAAGATGATTACAATTGAAATGTAGCAAACTTACCCCCATGCAAGAAGTAGAACCTTCTCATAGAAGACACTCGACAATTCTGAATGAGCAAGACTAGAAAAGGCAAAACATAACAACTGCAGTCAGTCATCTGGAAATAAACTTGAGATGCAGGATTTGGGATCTATAGTCATAATTGGTACTTGGGTAATAAACTTGAGATGAAAGCTAACCCAAACATATGAATTAAAATTATTTGACCCAGGTTTCTCAATGCAACTTTGGTCATATTCATAACCGTCTTCCAATATAATCAGATGGTTAGGAGTTTCAACTTGTCTAGCATGCTTAATGCAGCACAAAGAATAACAGAACTTGATTTTAGACATTTAGTTCGTTAGTTGGCTACCTGAGGGCCCACAACCGAAGATATGAAGCTGTATTTGATACTGCTCCAAGGACAAACTCTATAGTATGTATGAGTTGGTGCACAAAAACTTCACTGAACTCGAATTCCTCATGGCCATGGGAATCATGATGAGCTTCCACTTCAAAAGAGTCATCTGTACTTTGAAGCAGCGCATAGGACTGACCTTGGTGTCTCTGAAGCAAAAAAGAGACATTCAAATGGTGAAAAAGAAATCAACTAAAGAATTGGAAAACACAATGAATTAACTGGAAGAAATGCATACTTCTTGGTGTTGTTTCTTCAAAAGAAAAGGCTTTGGAAGCAGCATCCATGGCACAGCAACAAGGGCCAGCAGTAATAATACCATCTGGTAATGAAAGAAAGAAGTGAACAAGTGAGACATCCATCTCCAGTAATGTTGAATGAAGACCTAAACATGATGGATAAAAAATAAACCATACCTGAAGGGTTTTCTGGCCAGCAAAAAGCTGGTTCTCACCAAGATCATCTGTTGGACTCAGGAACATGTATATCATCACATGGTATAGATCAGCTTGTGAACCAGTACACCACTTCACAATGATGAGGAGGGAAAGGTAACCAAAAAGGCTGTTTAAAAATATTATCTGGGGTACAAATTGGTACCTGGAGAAATGCATGGCAAGAAGTGATTGCAATTAAACAAAGTAAAATGGACAATCATGCCATAATAGGAAATTACAAATACATCACATGCATGTACTATTTGCACGTGCTTTGCATGTGGTAATTCTAGATTATGATAACGATAGTAATAATATAACCAAAATTTTCTATAAACTTTATATAATTTTTATTTTTGTTGTTTATTAATCGGATGCAGATTGCAAAATCCAAATCTAATTATATAAACACCTCATCCAAATATGTAATAATCGGACCGAGTTGTGAAGTTTCAAGTATCATTGATAGGCCTACCTGCTTAGCTAGACTCTTCTTTTTGTAATGTTTTGTCTTTTTGGTGTATCCTTTTATGTTAATTTATCAAAAAAACGTAAGATTTAAATAGAGGGAATTGAATGAGGTGAAAAATAATAGTTCACTTTACAATTTAAACCTTACAATTAAATAGGGACTAAATTCAAAAATGAGTATTTTAGTCAAAATTCCAAAATCTTAATAATATTTTTAATAGTAGTGTAAATATAGTATTATAGATGTGTTCAATTTTTTCTATATTTTTTTGTATTTTTGTGTAAAAATAATTCTGACATGTCACACTTGCTTTTTGTTTAATATGATAAATATATGATATTATAGATGTGCCCAAATGCTTTTTTTGCAAAATTTATGTATTTTTTCATTTTTATATTTTTATATTTTATTATTTATTTATGACATTAAAGGTTAACGCATTTAACCCAAAAGTTGAACTATTTATTATTAATTTTTATATTTCATTTTTGGCCAGTTCTAAATTATGTATTTCATTTTCATTATCAATAAAAATAATTCTTGTTTATTACACTTATTTTCTAATTAGATTAATAAAAATATCATAAATGTGTCTAGTTTTTTCTACATTTTTGTAATTTTCTATATTTATTTCTATTTTAAAATTTTATTACCTAAATATGACTTCATATGTTGATCAATTTGATTAAGATGGTTGAATTGCTTAGCCACCACTTGGATAAAGAATTGTTTTGTTTTTGAGTCAGTTTTAAAATATATGAGTTTATATTGTTAAACATATTGGCATAGATCCAATTAGTAGTATTTATTAGTGAAAATAACTTAAATACAAGATTTAATAAGAGAAAATGGGATCTAATACCTTAAGTATAAGACTTAATGAGAAGGGATTAAATGAGGTGGAAAGTAATAATTGAAGTTACATTTTCAACCATTACAATTAGAGATGGAATAAATACATAAATATGGATATTTTAGTAGCCACTAAAGCTAGCATTAAAGTTAAAATAAAATGACTTTTATACCATTCTAAAACAAAGAAATAGAGGGTAATTTTAGTCTAAGAAAAGTTTCACACTACATCCACACTTTTATATATAGTATAGATAGTTATTTCGACAGTTCATTCATTCAAGACTAAAAGTTGACATTCTAGCTCACCAGATATTCAGGTTACTCCCATAGAATTTGGCATTGAAATAGCTTAACACAATTCCAAGATTCATCTGGGCTACCCCAATAAGTATTGACATCTTCATCTTCAACGAATTGAGAAACGGCAACTCACTGCGGGTGCCATACCATGCAGGATCCACACCAAAAGGATAAGTACCACGCACCTTAATCAAACCTACTGTTGTAGAATCACTGCAATAAATCGTTTGGTCATCATCATCATCCCAATAACAAGAGAAAGATTCTATGCATAACAAAAACATAAACAAGGTACTTTGTCCATACCTACAGGAAGGATCACGGCAAGCATAGGCAGACCGACCAAAAAGTTCAAATGGGACTGAAAAGAATTCATTATAAATCAAGCCTGTATAAATAGAGAACAGTGCCATCATCATAATGACATAACGACCACCAAAGGTCATCTCTGTGATGTCTCCAAGCTTCTGTTGAAACAAAAAATATGACGTATAGTTAATGCTGATAATGAAACCTAATAACATTAGAGAACATAAATCATAAATGGACTACAGAATACATCAAACTGGAACAAACAGTGGAACTATCATCTGGCCCTCTTACTGTGTAGTATGAGCACACATAATGAAGTGGATTAATGGTAATAACTCAATATACATGAAAAAAGGTCATGGGTTCAAATCATATCACTTGCATTTTGAAAAATTCTATACATTTGAGATCCGGGCAGTTTTAAGAAACAGGGACCAGTTCACCGGTTTTCCGGTTAAACCTGCAGGTCATCCAGTTTTAAGCAGTTTTTCACATAGTCCAGTTTCTAGGGTACAACCGAACAAAATATAGGTCCAGGTCACAATTCAACCGGTTCAACCAGCCAGTCAAGTCCAGTTTCCTAAACATTGGTTACAACTAGACCTGTTCATGGGCCGGGTAGCCCGACGGGCTGGCCCGACCCAGCTCGATCTAAGTCAAGCTTGGACAGGATTTCAGGCCTGCAGATTGGGCTCAGGCCTAAAACATCGGGCCCAACCTTTTTTCGGGCCAAGCTCGGGCTTTCTCAAAAAAGCCTGGCCCGAGCCCGAGCCCAACTTGATAATGTATTATAAAATAAAAATGTATAATAATATATTTTTTCTTTATTATTCTTCTCTTTTTTCAAGTAATAGTGAGATCTATCATTATTTTTTTAGGTTTTGAGGTCTTTTAATATAAATAAAATAGTTTTTAATTGAATAAAAAAGGAAAAAAAAACTTTTTTTTTCCAAATTTCTGGCCAGGCTCGGGCTTAAGACCTAGGCCTGATGGTCGGTCCGGGCTCGGGCCTGAGCATATTCTGTTAATGTAGAGCAAAACCTAGACAGTGTTGTGCATTGTGTTTGAGCTTGAATGTGGAAACTCCTTAGTAGCACAGATTCTTATTACTTCTGTTTTCAATGCATTTCAAAGAGTGTTTATCTTTTTCCGTTTTTTATAGTCAAAGTATATTCTTTGATTAAAAATAGCATGCAAAGAGTAATGACAAAATGCAGGCTAGCCACAATTACCTAACCCAAACCCATGTATACAAATATAAGATAATCATAAAGTTACTCCCGAATACAAATCATCCCCACTGAATCCTCCTTTTGCAAGTGAGTCAGCCACACCATATGCTAATCTATAAATCCACATCCAACCCACACCAGTTCTCTAGAAAATTATTTAGCCTCCTCCAAAGTATGTGTTGTCATGTGCTTTGTGCCTCCTTTAACCAGTCTATTACATTCCTTGAATCTCCCTCCACTATAATGCTGCCCAGACTCATCCATCCATTTACGCATCTGTAGTTCTTGAAGTAAGCCTTTCAATTCTGCTGCTGTAGAATCTGCAACTCCTATTCGTCCCAAGAAGATAGCAATAAAATCTCCAGTCATCCCCCGTCATATTTCTTACAACCCCACCAATTCCCAAAGGTCCTAGGATTCCAATGCTACAAACATCAACATTTAGCTTCCATGTGCTGATGGTGGAGACCAATTCTTTAAAATGATTTAGTGGTAGAAAAATCTGCTACCTGTTGCCAACAGCATGGAATATCATTCTTCGTAAATGGCTCAAGGATTTTCAATGTTTTTACCTAATTTACTACCCTCCATTGGATAGTTTCTATGACTTCCTCCTTGGGTCTTCACTTGTCACAGATTCTGTGGTTTCTCTCCTTTGAAAGAGACCACAATGTGGGCACCCTAGAATATTAACACAAGATTCTGCCCATCTTTGTCTTGGGGTTGAAGAAGTCCTTTTTAAAACAAGAGCTCTATATCCCCAGGAGGAGACCACCTGCTGCCAAGGAGAGACGAGTCCATCCCATGCACTAGAAGATTAGCAGATGCAAAGAAGATTGCCCATTTGAGCCACATAGAACGCAAATGTGAGGAGAAAGATATAAAAGAAGGTGTCATAAGTGTTGATCTGCAAATGACAAGCACCCAACAAAAAGCCTTTGTTTTTTGGGGGATGGGACCATGCCAAAAAGAATTGGAAGGGAAAGATACAAAAGAGGAAGGGGCAACTAAAAAAAGTGCTATGAATAAAGAAACACAAGAGAGTGAAACAAAGGGGAGAGGACAAATTCAGGCATCAAAAAGAGGTGAAATCCAAGAAAAAAACCCTAAAAAGAGAAACCAAATCCATCACACTCACAACCTCCAAGACCTCTTCTAAAACCCGTATTCCAAGAAGTATTCCCATTCAATATGCTTTAACATAACAGCAATAATTTTGGATTTCAAATTGGAAATGGAGTACAAGGCAGGAAAACGGTCTTTGAACAGAGTTCCCCCCACCAAAGGTCTTCCCAGAATTTGGCTGTTTTGCCACAAGCAGCATTACAATTTACACCTAATGCTTTTAACGGAGAGGGGAAGAATTTCTAAAATAGAATTTCCAAGGAGAAGCAAAGGTGGCTCTATTGGCCACCCCCAAGGTTTAAAGTATCGCAACGTATCGGGCCGTATTGACCGATGAGTACCGTTTCATTAAGAAACCGATACACGGAATGTGTAAAAATCATGTGTTTCATTTCTTTTCGTATGTATCGGCCAATACAGGCCCATATCGGGCTGTTTCAGATCAGTATCGGTCGATACAAGCTTGAAACAGGCCAATATAAACCGAATCATTTCAGTTCCCCTTGTTCCATTAATTTATATTTAATACCAAATATCTCTCATTAATGTCGTTTATTACTCCTACATTTAAGTCTAACTTCTTCATTAATTAGTTAATTACTCCTATATTTAAGGCAAATTTAAATTTAAATTTGAATTTTAGCTCCTAATTACAATTCTCTCATTAATTCTATTAATTAGTGATTCTCTCTACAAATATTAACAATAGCAAGACTTGAACCCTAGTCACTACATTTTAATGCCCATAATTTTGCCACTAAACCACTTCAATTTGTTTATTGTAATTATATGCATTTTTAGTTTTAAGTCAATTTTCTCTTTTCTTAGTGATAATTATTAATAAATGCTGAAATTAATTATAAAAATTTATATACTAAGAAATATTAAGATAATTATATCGGTTATTTAAAAACTGCCTATCAAAAAAGGGAATTGTAGAAAGGATAATTATTATGA